CAAGTTGAAAGTTTGAAATAATGACTTAATGTTAAAAAAATAATTAATATAAATTCTTAAACAATCAGAGTATATTCCTATTATCTATAATATGGTTGTTAGATAAGAATATTAATAAATCATATTAGACGGATCTTTTTTTTTTTTATGTTTTTCATATAAATGATCGACAAAAAATGATCGACACTATTATGAAGAGCAATTAGACCCCTGTAAATAATGACATTTTACTTGACTGTTATATACAATGAATACTGTATATATTTGATGATGATTCGTATTATATTGAAATTATTTAAATAATACAAAAACATTGTGAAAATTTTACCATCATAAGGATGTGAAACAATACGGATTAGGAATGTGACAGTTATGGGAATGGATGTTAGATTCTCAGGATATTATATATATATAATTTACTAGAAACATATAAATAATACTACAGGTAATCTGAAACAATATCATAAAAAATATATATTTAAACAAGTTATTTTTTTTTTAAAAAAAAAGTAAATTTCCTTATAAGTAAAAATTAACAAGCATGAAATTTTAAAAAATGTTTTGCCTTAAGATCGAAAGGTAAAAAAAAAAAGTTAGGTCAAAATAATATTTAGAGAATTTTTATAAAAATTTATAGGCTTTTTCACTGTGACGTGAAAACTCTCATTGATGGATCAAAAATTAGCATTGGTACCTTTACTCAAAGGATTTACATTACCAATTCTAGTAAATGATTATTTGACCGTGTGATTTGGGTCCTTATTTTCAGCAACATTAAGTAAATCCATTATATATGATTCGCACGAAAAAAAAGAAAATTTCCTTCAGACCGATATCTACTGTGCATTTCAGTAATCAGCCTACATGACGGAATTTCCTGCCTCGCTTTATGCTTTTATTTACAGTTACTATTGGAATTTTATTATGATAAAACCAAAAAACTATTGAAATTTTTTTACAAAAATTTTACTTATATAATTTAACTATGAGCTGTGTGAGAATGGCTGAAAGTTTTTTTATTCATATCATATAAATCAAAATTGCATGCAGACTAAAAATACTTTATTAATAGTTATATTACAACATCAAATAACTACTGTCTAAATTATTTTACATAAGAAATTACAAATAATTCAACTACACCATTTTTGTTGTAAATAATAAAGATATATCTTCTTCAGTAATAAGTAAAATATCATCATCTGGTAGATGTAACCGCTTCCTTAACTTTTCAGAATAATTATTACCTGGAATAAAGGAACGTAATTTTTCTTATTCTATGAATTCATTTCGAATAACTGCAAAGAAATTAAAAATCTTCATATAACATGTAATAGCGTCAAAAGTAAATGGAATTATGCAAGAAGCTAATTTAATCATTTCGAAAAATTACTTGTTCCTTCTCAAGCAATCTCTTCTTTTCTCAACCAATTTAAGCTCCATAAGAATGTTTTGTTGCTTAGCCTGCAGATCCCAAAAACTATTTACTTCCTTTGATTTTTTTTCGTCCTTACAAAGATTGAATTAAATGATCGTCCTTTCCCTTATGAGCACGCAGCCCATAAGGTAGTTCACTCAAACTGTACACTAACCAACATGCACGCAGCCAACATGGTATTTGGTGACAGTACAGAATACTATTTACAATACTGCTCACCAACAAGCACGCAGCCTTTCCTACTACCAGCACGCAGCCAGCAGAGTAGTTGGTGGCAGTATAACCTCCTATCTTTTTACCTGAAAATTCTTTAACAGCTGTTGCACTTCTTTCCCAATTCAGATGTTTTAACATGATATTTGTGAATAGTGTTTAGTTCACCCACGTATCGATTGTGCTCCGTTTCCTCTTGTTCCAAATCGACTTCGTGTAAACGGTAATCCAAGAAATTTTTAAGTGAAGGTTTCTCCGATTGCTTCCGCATTTTGACTTACCACAGTATTTAAGAGCATCGAAACATTCAGGCAATAGTTGCATTTTTACTTCTTACGTATGTTGGCGAAAGTAAATATGTGAATGATCAGACGGCCAAGCCGAAAAAAGTTTATAATCACGTGCTATATAGTTATCGGAACTAGATTTCTAGAATCTTTCACTTATACATGTGAGTGATAAAAAAAAAAAAATAATACGTGCAAGACCAACCCATTGTACATGAAGTTTCTATGCTATGATCGCGAACTTGAGTTTATTGCTTGAACTGTTACAGGTAAGAAAATATTCCAACTTATCTTGGGAATACAACTTCGCTAATTCAGGATCATAAGGAAACTGATCCCCATTTTCGCGGTACCATGAGCAATAAAATCTCACTAAATTTTTTTTTACCATGACACAGATCCTCCTTTATTATATATAGTATTGTAATCAATAAACTAGGAATAAAATTAAAGAATTTCCAGTTATGCGAAACGAATACATATACATATGACCCAAACACTCTAAAAAATAATAAAGCCTATAATTAGTCGTCGTCAAACAATGTTCACTTTTCTCAATACCTTTTTTTTATTTCAGAATGTTAACTCTTATATTATAAATTACAATTACATTCTGATAATTTATTTCTCATGTTTGTTATAGGGAGGCAATATATTTATTAATCGAATTTTATTTTAAACTTTTAAACTTGCGATTTTAAGAATTTCGTCCCTAATAGTTGTCATGAATGGCGCAATATCAAATGATAAAGATGAAGTGCATAATATAGTGATAAAAATAAATAAGGGAAATCTTTGATACTTGCATGAGAATAAACTTGGTTTCATCCTGCAAATATAATGAATTAAGCAGAATGACCTGACAAATTTGATACTTCAAGAATTCCAACGTTGAAGTAATTTTCATGACTTGAAAATGGAGTGGAAATGGCACAAAAAATTTATTCAAAATATCTACAAAATATTTATTTGAATTGATGATAATATTTTCTTCTTCTTTGATGAGATTTTAACGAAGAAATGCAGATTAAATAGCAAAAATTAAAGATTTAAAAATTTTTTTATTTTATTTAAAAGACAATTATAATTTTCTTTCAAGTTTAATATACGTTTTGACTTCATTAAATTTTTTTAACGCGTGATTACACGGTTAGGTTTCGAAATCGAAACTAGTTTTATTTTTTTGCCAAATTTTTTTACTAAAGGAAAAACCGCGAAGGCTTCGAAGAGTAAAATCAATTTCCTTTTTTGTAATCCATTTAAATTTTCGGATCTCGAAATCCGTGGGATGAACAATTTTACTTTACTTACTAGGAAAGTTGAAATTCATTCAATTCAAAAAAAGCCAGATAATGATGATAAAAAAATAAATAAATAAATATTTACTAAATGGATTCTGACGAAAATTTTTTTGAAATCCTTAAACAAAAATTTTTTATTTTCCATAATGGGGTTTTCAAATTTTCAATCAATTAAATCTAAAAAATTCATCGCAATTATCGTATTATCATTTTTATTACACCTGACGTTATGTGATATTCAATATTTAAAAAGTATTAACGAAGATTTTGAAAATGATTTAACATTTGAAGAATCTAATTCAAATCCAAACGGAATGATTTTATTACGATTTTCTAAAAACAACAACAATAATATATATTTAAGAATCGTTCCCGTAAATGGATCTACTATTTATATTACAGTAAATAAATCATTTACTACCTCAAAAATGAATGCAGTTATTTTAAATGAAGAATATATTTTGATATTGTATGCGGTAAAAACCAATACATTTGGGTTGCTTTCGTCATGGACCGGAGATATAATTGAGTAAGTTTGTATAAAATTATGTATAATTATCTTGCAAATTCAAAATATTTAACTTATATATAATTAAAATTAAATTTTAAGTATTATCGATCTTGAAATTGTGTGGTATGATACTGGGCTAAAAAGTACAGGACCGAGCCTGTCGTACGGCTTATTTATAAACAAAGACGTATTCTCGTTTGCTGGCGTCAGAGAGAATGTTGTTATTTGGAAAAGGTTTAAACTTCCGAATATATCGGACTCTAATGATAGAAATGTGATACGTATAACCGAAGGGAATTTTTCAAATCCGTTATATAATTTAACATTAAATCCGATTCCTAGAGTGAAATATTTTCAACTTATCGATGGCGGATTTGGATTTGCCATAAGTTATCGTAATGAAAAAAATGGATATAAAATCGATGAAATTTACGTAAACTTTTTGGAAGCTGATGCAACTGAACCGTTAGGACCTTATTTACTAAATTCATTCAAAAACGAATCAATTCGTATCGAGGTTGATGGTATACTTATTTTATTATAATTCATTTGTATTAAAAGCAAATAATAATATATTTACACTCACTCGTTACCCACTTCTACAGGTTGCATTAATAACTTTGATGGTACCGGATATACATGTACTACTTATGAGGAAGGTTCCGGAAGTTCCCAAATTCGTTTTCTCTCAACTGGCGCAGTTATGTCTGTTGGTTACACCAATATTGACATTTATAGTTATAATTTTGGATCGTTTTTTTATCCCAATTTTTATGGTGGATATATTGGCTTTATCGTCAACAACAATGAAAATAAGATTGATATTTATGATTATTATGGAGTCATATCTAGTAGTGAAATAAATAAATATAATGGCAGTTTATATAATGTAAAAAATATAAATGTAATTCAAAAACAAAATGTTTTTTGGATTTTACAGAAGTTTGAAGATAATTACGCAATCAATTACTATTCTTTAAATACTATTGATCCATCTGGTAAGGTTAATTTATTATATTACTAAAATCAATAACACCTCGATAACTTCATCTTCTTTATTTTATAGATTATCGTTACATATTTCAAAATCCAAATATTAATAACACGTCACCAAGTATCAATGATACCATTTATTTACCAAATGAGAATTTACAATTGAAGATAAATTACAATATTCCTGTAATTTTATCAACTGGAAAATTGACGATATATCAGTATGACGAGAAGGACAATTTGATTTTAAGACAGATAATTTCTGGACAAAATTATGATTATTGTAATGTGCTTAACGATACAGTGTCTATCAAAATTTTACCTAGCACATTTCACAAAGGCTATGCTAAATTTGGTGTTCGAGTTGATAATAATTTTGTCAAGTCTCGAAAGACAAAAGAACCTTTACTCGGAATTTCAGAAAATATATGGACATTTTCAACTCGTAAGTTTTAATTATAGAACTTCTTTAATGAGTTAAATTTGTATTAATAACTCCGTTAACTTTTACATTAGAATTAAAAGAACAAGATGAACCAGCAGGTATTATTTATTATAAGAAGTTTCATAAATTATTTATCATAATCAAATTAATAACATTTACTTACTTCAATAGATCAATTAATCCTTTCCATTAAATTAAATTTTAATAATGCATCGACTGCATATTATGATGAAATAAATTCTCAAAAATTTGGTCAACTTGAGAATGAATTATCTAAAATAATACCTATAAATCAAACAAGATTAAAAATTAATCGTATTCAAAATTTAAATGATGATCAGAATGATCAGATTTTAATATCCATCGCTGTTAATAAACCATACTTAAATGATTATAGCATGGAACGAAATACTGAATCAGTAAAGAAAGATCTGGACGAATTAATTAAAAATAAGGATATGAATCTTATATCTCAAGAAAAATTTACCAGATTTATAGATAAAAGTTATGGGGCTACACTAACTCGTAAGTACATTATTAATTTTAAATAATAATTTTTTTTTATTATTTTATATTTTAAACTATAAATATTTGATCTTAAAATTATAGCTGAATTTTGGTCTATTGAATTAATTGTCAATATAGTCTTGATTGCTCTTGTGATCATTATTTATTGTTTGCTTCAATATTATATGGTACAGTATACATTTAATACATTCATTATTTAATATTATTTCGCAATTTATTAATAATTTTATTCTTTAGATCAATTATTTCTTTATTATAAAGATCATCTTGATTGTTTATGATTTAATATTGGATATTACTTTTCTTCTTTCTAACGCTAATGACATTCCTGGTTTGTACATATATAGGTATGATTTGTTTTATAATAATTATTTGTTTTTACATAATTGCATATTATATTAATTGAATTTTGCTTAATTTTTTAGCTTATTATCAATTATAATTCCAATAGCTTTGAATACAATAGTGACTTTATACTTATTATGCCAGGAAATTAAATATAACGAAAATTTTAGAGATTGGTGTCATGACAATACAGTAACCATTTCATCATGTACAATTTTATCGTGTGTTGATGTAGAAGCTCTTCATATATTAAACACATTCATTAATGATGATAAACCGAATCTTAGACTTGGATTATTCAAAGCTTTATTTTCCGCACCTGAATTTGAAAAGATTACTAAATGGGTAACATATGCTGGTTTTTTCAATATTTTTTTAGAAGAAATACCACAATTTATTATACAGGTAATTTATCTATCTATTATTTGTTATTTATTTTTTAAAAAAAAGAATCAAAAAAAAGTTAAGTTAAACTATTATATAATTTCAGATTTATTATCAAAAACATGTAATTATTTATACAATTATACCTACTTTAACTCTTATTTCAAGTTTTGTCACATTATATTTTGGAGTACTTGAAAAAATTATTATAAAGTTTATAAAATATCATAAGAATAAATAACATTCAATAAATTTAGGTTTAGCAAATAGATCAAGTATTTGCTATTAATATTTAATATTTAAAACTAAAATAGTATTATAAAGAAATATCAAAATTTATTTAAAATACATACTCATATTTTAAATTTATATACTTTTTATTTATATTTGTTTTATCTAAAGAATATTTTTTAACTTATATTAAAGAATTGTCATAAATTATAATTTAAACTAAAAATTATAATAAAAAAGGTAACAAAATAATTTTAAATATTGATTTCATATTTTTTATTATATATTATAATTAAAATGTAATGTTTTTATTTTTTATACTTAAAATTAAAAATAGATAAATATTTAGAAATATTTTATTATTACTAATATAAAAAATCTTTTTAGTTTTTTTTAAAACATTTTTTTTTATAAACTTTTTAGATCTGATTTTATAAATAACCTTCTTTAAAATCTTATATTCTTTATAATTTACTAATAATAGATGAATTATTCTTTAAATTTTTTCTAAAGTAGTATTTAAATTAAAAAATTTTAATTGTAAATAAAAATGTTTAAATACTTTTTTTTCAAATTTTAAAAATTTGATTTATAAAGTATAAATAATTATAAAAATAACTAAATATTAGAACTGGTTAAGGTTAATCAATTAAATTAACTAGTTAAATTAATCAATTAATTTAACCAGTTAATTTATTATTAATTATTCAAATTAAAATAAATTAAAATGTATGCATATGTAAATTATATTCTTTATAGAAATTAGACTAAAACTTTCATAATAACTATTCTTTAATTAGTTTTTATTTACATATTAAAAAATCATTAACAAATTAATATTTATAGACCATTTAAATTTAAATTAAAATTTTGTAAAAATGTATCAAAAAAGTTAAAAATATGTAATATATAACAGAAAATTTAAAAATCATGATTTTATTATACTACTTTCACATTTTCAATATTATTTTAATTTATTATTATTTTTATTATTATTATTTGAGATAAAAATTATATTTATATATATTCTTTTAAATAAATTTAATAATTTATAAATAAATTAAATAAATTATATATATTATCAACGGAGCAATTGACCAGTCATAATGAAGTCATGTGGATGACGCAGTATGATGATCTTTTAATCTAGAATTCTGAAAATACTGAGAATTCTGCGAATTCTGAAAATACAGAGGATCTATGTAATTCTAAAGATCTTTCAAATACTGATAATAATCCTAATTTTACGAATTAGATGAAGTCTAAGAATATTTAGTGTTATACTTATTTTTAATATTATAAATTTTATTATTATTTTTATTATATTTTATTTTTTTATTATTTCACGTATTTTTATTATATTTATTTTATTATATTTTATCTTACTAAATTAGTTAGTTTATAGCATAGTAATTAGTTAGCTGTGACAAAAGAAATTTTGTATAAATAGATAGACTTTTTGCTTATGTTGTAAATTAACTCTTTTACGGATTAACAATTGAGTTTTAATATTAATAAAGGAATCATTTAAATTTTATATCTTTCTGCCTTTTCGTGTCTTTATATAGTCTAACGTGATCTTTACACATTATTTGTAATTGAGTTCATCATCTGAATTCTTTAATTAAATTGTTCATAATCTTATCTTTCAAGTCTTCATACTTGATAGATTTGTTTAAGTTCAACATGTAAATTTGATAAAGTTAAGAGTTAGGCAGATCCTAACGTCTTAACCGCAGTAAACCGTAGTTAGAAATTTTGAGTAGAGATTTGATAATGTAACTATCCCAAATTGAAAAATTCCATAGGGACAATATAGACTTTTGTGAAATTATCAAAGACTAATCAACATCAATTCAATTATTGAGCAGGTAAATAAATAGATATATGTGTAACTTTAGATCTATATATATAATCCTTTTGATTTTTAAAAATAATAACTTTTAATTCTTAATGTGAATGATTATCACAATTTACATAAATCTTATATTTCAAGTATAATATCTATTAATTATATTTTACATATGACAATTCTTTTGTTTAACATTAATGATATCTTCTAATTCTACCAAATAAAAAATTTGATATAAAAATTCCATAAAAATATTAAGTTTTATAACGTATAACTTTTATGGAAAATCAGTATAA